TAAGGCAGAGGTCCTTCCAGCCAGACGACAACCAGGAGGCCCTGGCGACCCCAACAGGAAAGGCCTGTCGGGGTCCAAGGTCAAATGGTACCTCAGGTATCTTCAGCAGGGCATGACACCTGATGAAGCTTTGAAGAAGGCGAAGGAGCCACGACCAGTGGCACAAAATGTTGCCCCTGCCAGCAAGCGGGCAAATAGTACCCTCACCCCTCCGATGGACACCCCGAAAAAGTCCAAGTCAGAGGGCATCAAAGAGGCAGCGGCACCTCCCCCCTCGTCCCCCAAGGCCTGATGAGCCTAGCACATCGAAGGCGGCGGCGACGAGGAGACCCCCCTGAGGCACCTGCTGGCACACCCAGCGTGCCGAAGGCGGGTGACAAGGGTGAGAAGCAGCCACCCTCCACTTGTGCGGCACCTCTCACTGGCACACACACCTCCTACGCGGAGGCCGCCAAGAGAGTCAGAGTTGCCGTATTACCTGAGGACTACCCGCAGGTGTACCTGAGCAACGAAGAGCTTGCCGAGCTGGAGGAGGCCATAATGGACGACATAGTCACGTCTGAATGGGACTCAGCAGTCGCTTTCAGAGGTATCCACTTTAGGGTCGGATACCTCCTGATAGACTACTTGGACCAGGACTCGGCGGACTGGCTGAGGGCTGTAACGCCTCAGCTAAGAACGTGGAAGGGCGTGCCCCTTGACACTAGGGTAGGAGAAGACATTCCTGCGGCATACAATATCACAGTCTTCTGCCCTAGAAGTGCAGAAAGAAGCAATGAGGAGCTTCTGATGATGCTGGGACGCCAGAACAGAATGGAGGTCGATTCCTGGAAGGTGATCTCCCGAAGGAACGACGGAGGCGGGGCACTCCTCGTTATAGGGATAGACCAACTCACCCGAGATGAGATCGTCTCTAAAGGGCACCAGCTGAACTTTAGATTCGGGACCGTCTCGGTGAGTGGTCTCAGGAAGGCGGCGAAGATGGCGGCAACAGAAGCAGCGCCCCCCGGCCCCAAAGACGGCAAAGTGGAGGTCGAGGAATCCCTCGGAAAGCCACAAGAGCCATTGGGTGCAAAGGAGGAGGCTATCGCCGATATGGACGTGGAGAGTGAGGATGAGCATCCCTCGACCTCCCAGGAGGTGGCACAAGAACCCCTCCTAGAAGATATCGACGAGAAGGAGGCCGACGTCACCCTGACGGAAGGCAGTGAAGGGGAGTGCCCGCCCCCTTCACAAAACATGGAGCACCCGCTCCAGTAATAGCTGCACACCGCAGCACGCAGCTAGCCCAGGTGAACTTACACCGGGCCAAGCCGGCATCCGCCGTCCTGGCCAGGTTGTTCACCTCCCAACATCTCGGGCTAGCTCTCATTCAGGAGCCTTGGTGCAATCCGGGCATTAAAGGCCTGTACACCAAGGAATCAAAGGTAATATGCGACCAACGGGGTGCACACCCAAGAGCATGCATATTAATAAGGAAAGATAAAAATTATAATATATTTTTAGAGTTCCTAAGCAGTGACTGTGTCGCGGTAACGCTGAGCGGCACAGGAAAGTTACCCGTGATCGCCATAGCATCGGCGTATTTCGCTGGGGATGCAGCATGCCCACCACCGGAAATCATCGGACTCGTGGAATGCTGCAGGAGGAAGAAGTTGCACATCACATGATATGGGGAAGCACCGACGTCAACAACAGAGGTAAGCAGCTAATAGAGTTTATTGTAAATAGCAACCTAGAAATCGGTAATGTCGGGTCCACACCGACATTCATTACTAGAGTAAGAGAGGAGGTCCTAGACATAACTCTGATGAGCAGGTCTCTAGGACCACTTATCAAGAACTGGCATGTGTCGCCAGAGGATACAATGTCGGATCACCGAATCATTAGATTTGAAGTAGACTTCAACACCGCTAGGGACGCCTCCAAAAGGAATCCCAAGAAAACAAACTGGGATTGGTTCAAGTCCTCTCTTGAGCTCAATCTCTCTACCGAACCGTCAGGTATACCCAGACATTCTTTAGAATTGGATCAGGCAGTGGATAACCTCTGCAAGAAGATAACCAATGCTTTTAAGGACAGTTGCCCTCTTGGCAGACGGAAGGCAGTTAGAGACGCCCCATGGTGGAATGACAACCTGGAACGGCTCCGCATCTCCACCCGCCGGCTCTTCAACAGAGCAAAAACGAGCGAGGATAACTGGAGACAATACAAACAAAGCCTGACGCTCTACAACAAAAAGATCAGGAAGGCCAAACGGAAGAACTACAGAGACTTCTGTGAGGCAATCAGCACTGTCCATGAAGGGGCAAGATTGCACAAGGCTATGGCCAAAGTTGCACCGGAAAGTAACCTAGCCCTAGCTTTACTCTTTAAAACACACTTCCCCGGGAGCTCACCCCTGGCGGAAGATACGTCCAACCCAATGGAGGCATCGTCCACTCCAAGACACTTCAGACCAAGCGCAGAGGACTGGGCAATTGCCAAGTCTCTAGTCTCTCCGGAGAGACTTAAATGGGCAATTGGGACCTTCCAACCATTTAAGTCACCTGGTCTGGATGGTATCTCTCCATCATTCCTGCAGCAGGGACTGGATTTACTCCTAACCCGCTTAAGGAGACTGATGCTAAGCAGCCTAGCAATTGGACACATCCCAAATGCGTGGCGTAGAGCTAGAGTGGTCTTCATCCCCAAAGCAGGGAAGAAAGGCATCACCAACCCAAAGTCCTTCAGACCTATCAGCTTAACTTCGTTTTGCCTTCAAACGTTAGAAAAGCTGGTAGACTACCATATTAGGAGCACAGTTCTTAAGGACTGTCCGCTGCAACCCACGCAGCACGCATACAGGGCAGGTCGTTCAACAGACACTGCACTGTACCAACTTTGTCACACTCTTGAAGGGGTAGTGGACAAAAAGAAGAAGCAATCTGCGCCTTTCTGGATATAGAGGGAGCCTTTGACAATGCGTCGCATGATGCTGTCTTAGCGGCCCTCGCCAGAAGGAATATAGACGCGACAACAAGAAGGTGGATTGGAGCCTTGTTAAGCTCCAGGCAGGCAATGGCGACCATTGGCAACAGCACAATGACCGTTGCCACAAGCAGAGGATGTCCGCAAGGTGGAGTCTTGTCTCCTTTACTGTGGAGCCTGCTAGTAGATGAACTACTAAAGAAACTCTCCGACAGAGGAATACAATGTCAGGGCTATGCCCATGACATAGTAATAGTAGCCAAAGGGAAATTTGAAGAAACGCTTTGGGATATTGTCCAACTCGGACTCAAGATAACGCTCGACTGGTGCAGGGAAGTTGGGCTTAACCTCAACCCCGCAAAAACAGTCATTGTTCCTTTTCAAAGAAGTACAAACTAAAGAAGATGAGACAAATCATACTACTAGGTACTCCCGTAGCAATAAGCCGGGAAGTTAAGTACCTCGGAGTTACCTTCGACAGAAGGCTAACGTTTGCAACCCATATGCAAAAGACAGTGGATAAGTGCCTCAGGGCTCTCTTCACCTGTCGGAAAATTGCAGGGAAATATTGGGGGACCTCACCCCAAATTATCAGATGGTTATACCTTATAATTGTGAGGCCAATACTCACATATGGGTCAGTAGCCTGGGGTAAACGAGCTAGGCTCGTTACCGCACAGAAACAGCTCCAAAGGCTGCAAAGACTGGCATGCATATGTATGACAGGAGCAATGAGGACCTGCCCCACTGCGGCACTGGAAGTTCTCATGGAACTCACTCCGCTACACTGCGTAGTAGAGTTACAGCGAAAGGCCACCCTACTAAGAATCACTTCTTGTGGTAATAGCAGTGACCGCATCCTCAGTTCTAGGGATGCAGCAAAACTACTAGTCGAACTTCCCCTGAGCTCACACTCCAGGGACGAAATGACAGTAGAATTCATCTTTGAAAATAATTTCTCTGCTCATCTGAGCAACAAGAAAGAATGGACCACCATGAAGGAAGTACACTCCATGGCGAGTCACACTATAGCATGGTATACGGACGGGTCTTTAACACACCAAGGCACTGTCCTTGGAGTAGTAGGACCACGAATCAAATACCATGAATCGTTAGGCCAATACACCAGCATATTCCAAGCTGAAGTTTGCGCCATAGGACGGTGTGGAGAGCTCAATATGAAGCGTGGATACACATACAAGGACATTGCGATCCTCTCGGACAGTCGAGCGGCAATTACTGCACTATGCAGCAATAGAATCACCTCGAAGCTGGTACGAGAAGTAAGAACAAAGCTGAACCTTCTGGGCAGCAACAACAGGCTGTCATTAAGATGGATTCCAGGACACAAAGACATATCCGGGAATGTACTAGCCGACAGGCTAGCAAAACTAGGAGCGGAACGACCCCTTATAGGACCCGAGCCTTACTGTGGCATAGGCAGACACACAGTCAAAGATTACCTAAGAACGGAAGAGGTACAGATGAGGCAAGCCTGCTGGGTAGACACCACAGGCCAAAGACAAGCAAAAACCCTCATCGTCAATTATGACATGAAGAGGTTTAAGAAACTTATACTACTAGGGAAGAGATCACTTAGGATAGTTACCGGCTTACTAACCGGACACTGCAAACTAAGGAGACACCTATTTAATATAGGGATTACAAACAGAAAAACATGTAGATTCTGTGATAGCGAGGATGAAACCTCCCTACACATAATAGCAGATTGCCCAGCACTAAGTAGCCTGAGGAGCAGAACCCTCGGGTTCAGGTTCCTTACACTTGGGACCTCTAGAAGCATCGACCCGATAAAGCTCCTTAACCTTATCGAAGGAGCCGGGTTGATGGGTGAGCTCTAAGCTCAGATAGGGGGTACAATAAATCCAGTTGGGTCGAGGTAACCTCCCCCCCTAATAATAATAATAATGCGGCACGACAACAAAAAATTTTAGCTATGCACAGTTATTTCACAATTTCAAATTAAGACTTTTATTAAAAAATTTTTATGTGTAGCATAGCGCATTCACCTTGTTTATCTCTGCTTTCTGATCGAAGTATTATATCCTTTCCGGCGTCACGCCGCCACTGTACTTTCGGTTTAGGAACGCCAGTTGCACTGCATAACAGTGAAATACTACCACCCTCTGTGCTTACACCTTCCTCTAGATTATGCTCTGGGTCGTTTAAAATATCTGGTGGCACAACAACATCTAGGTATCCAGACTGTAAAAAAAAATATTTATTTTAGCACTTGCTGCTATAAGTATATAAATTCCAATTTATATTTTAGGCTTAAAAGGATAACAAAGAAGAAAGTGCACTTACAATGCTCTTCATGGGATCTGTGTTAACTTGGCACATGTAGCTGCCTGAATCATTTATCTGTACGCGGGATATGTGAAGTTTCCAGGTATTGTGGCCATTGTGTGTCACAGATAATCTTGGATTTAGCGAGACCATATGTGTATGTATCCCAAGTATTGCCTTTGAATCGGATTTAATCCATGCCACCTAAAAAAAAAAAAAATATCTTGAACAAATTTCCAATATTTGACTAGAAATAGGCCCACCGGATGGACAGCTAGTAATTTCAACAAATATTTATTTTTAGTGCCAGGCGCCGCGAATTTCTGACGCCAAAATTTTTTGTGTTCCTAACTGTTTGACGACATTTAATATTTGGATTTTACTTATAAATACGCTGCAATAGCTCTTTTTTTAACATCCCACGGCCACTTAAACGCTCTTCGCTTTCGTTTTTCTATACGAATGACAACAGATATTGAACATGCAGATTTAAGTTGTTGGTACGCAGCGCATGTCTGTTTTGAAACAGCATTTTGTTTTGGTAGGTATATTGGATATTTTTAAAATTTGACTTGGCTACTCTTACGCCCACCAGCTTTAAAGGCGCCAGGAGGTTTTAAAAAATTGAAATTGTGTATCTGAGCAAAGGGTATCTCATAATTTAGGCACAACAAATAAACACAAAAATTAACATGTTAAAGTTCACAAATAACTTAAAAATATTTTTTTAATTTTGAGCAAAATTTTTTGTGTAAATGTAGGTTAGTCAAATTTCTTTAGGCTCACACATTGTACAGAATAAATTTTTATACGAAACAAATAAAAAAAATAATATGTTATTAATTTTTTTCCATTATTTATACATATGTATACAGTAGAATCCGGTTATAGCGACTTTCAAGGGACCAAAGATTTTTCGTCGTTTTACCCGGAAGACGCACTAAGCTAAAGAAACAAAAAAACATTTTTTTTTTGTTTATTTATGGTTGCCGTCTTCGTAATAGGTTCTTAAAATAAATTAAATTAGTTTTTTAATGAAAACAAAAAATTTAATAAATTTAATTCAAAGGCATGTGTTTCTCATAATACTAAAAACTGAGTGAGCTTATTATTGCATATTTTGCATTTGCCGAATTTACGCTTTTAGTTTTACTCGGAAAAAAGCAGAAAAAACTAGAAATATAACGGGACATCTCATGGAATAGGCTATGAGGACTGCACACGCAGTGTGACGTCGGCATTGCACTTCGACTCTCTCTCTCGCAGCAGCGTAGTTTTGGCGACAGCTAAAACCTTGCAGTTCTGGCTGTTCACAAGTGAATTTTGGCAATTGCCAATCATGTGTGTAGGAAAGGGAAAGGGATATTCCTAAGTTTCCCTCTCTTCCTCACTCTTATAATACGATTTCGTTGCTTGCACCCGTCGGCGGCCCGACTCCAAATTGTCTTCTATTCTTTCGTTTTTCTAATTGCACTGTTGTCATTCTCCGTTAGAAACAAAAAATTGGTTTTCGATGGAAAATACGGCTGAGAGGCGCTCGACTTATATGTACTCTTTTGATGTTAAAGTTCTTCAAATATTAAATATAATACCTATATATATGCATAATAAATTTTATATATACAACATTATTTAAATTATTGAACTAAGATAACCATAACACAATATTGATTGCAAATATAGATATAATATAACTCGCGTGTCATTTATGGCCGGTTATACCCAAAAAAGAAGGGTAGGGTAAGATGGGGTAAAACCGCCAAAAATGTATATTTGACGATGTCAAGCTATCATTTATAAAATGATCAGTGAACCAACCCATATTTCTGAAAGTTTAATCCTTTGGCTACATAATTCATTTATAAAGTTTTTATGTAGCTTTTATTTTAAAACAATTGTAATCGTTCAAAAGAAAAGTTTAAAACGGCGGTTTTACCCCACCTAGTGGGGTAAAAACGCCATTCTGGTTTCAGTGTAGTTAAGTACCCAAATAATGTCAATAACAAGTAGATTATTATCATAAAATATTAAAATCTTAGATATTGATACCTAATAGAAGAAAATCTTCAATTTCAAAATTTCCAACATGTGGAAGTTCAGAAGTTTTTTAATTAAAAACTATATCCATTGAAATGTTGCAAACACTTTTTATTTAACAATTTCAATAATCAATTTCACAATTATTAAGTGCCTAGTGAATTTCCAAAGGGTCGGCTTCAATATTATAGAAAAGTAATATATTATAGAGTTTAAAAAATTAAAACTTCTGAGCAATACGTTATCGCGGAGTTTTTACCCCACGCGCCAATTTTTTTTCGAGGTCACTTAGTTTGTACAATTTTGTAAATATTGGCTAACTTGATACATGTACATCAGTACCAAGGTTCGTACTATAAGCGGACACTTACCTCTTTTTTTCAAGCCGTTCATTTACACTTGATTGAGCAATGTTGATAACAAAAATTTTTTGCTGCCGTCGAGTGAAACAAAAATGGCGCAATAGAAATTGTCACGATAAAGCTGCAGTATTCCGACCGACCTCAAAAACTGCGCATTATCAATCAGAATCTACATTATCAACGGTTAATCGATTCGGCGCTTCATTTGAATTTGAAATCCAAATGGCGGTTTTACCCACCGGCGGTTTTACCCCATCTTACCCTATACTAAAAAGGTGAAAAAAATTAATTTTTTTAAAAAATTTTTCGATACAAAATTCGTATAAGGCATAAGGAATTCGTAGCGGAAGTGGAAGCGGGGTTTTCCTCGAGGATCGCCCTTAGGGAAATCATATATGTATGCCAATGTTCAAAATTTCATCCCCAAATTAATATGAAAAACAATACATATGTATATATATTTTTTATTTTATAAAATACCTTATTTGGTAACATAAGATTATGCACATTAAAAATATGAAATTCGAAAGTTTTTTTTTTACCATTTATGTGGAGTATTTGCAAGACATCGGCTGTTTTGCGTCCATCTATGGTACAAAAAATATTTTCGTTATTACATATTATATATTACTTTTTTTTAATTTAAGGCAAACTTACCTTTCAAACGAATTTATTGTACAGCCTGTATATCCTAAAAGATTTAAATAAGTTTGTAGTAAAAAACATAATATTTTTGTAATCTTAACGACACTTACATGATTTTTAAACGATTCCGCTGCGCGTTGCGCAAATTAAGTAATTTCACAAGTATGTAATTGTCAACGCACAACGCAAAAGAATGAGCAGTTCAATTTTATTTTTCACCCTTTAAGTATACCCTTCTTTTTTGGGTATAACCGACCATAAATGACACGCGAGTTATAGGGTAAGATGGGGTAAAACCGCCGGTGGGTAAAACCGCCATTTGGATATTAAATTCAAATGAAGCGCCGAATCGATTAACCGTTGATAATGTAGATTCTGATTGATAATGCGCAGTTTTTGAAGTCGGTCGGATTACTGCAGCTTTATCGTTACAATTTCTATTGCGCCATTTTTGTTTCACTCGACGGCAGCAAAAAATTTTTGTTATCAACATTGCTCAATCAAGTGTAAATGAACGGCTTGAAAAAAAGAGGTAAGTGTCCGCTTATAGTACGAACCTTGGTACTGATGTACATGTATCAAGTTACCCATTATTTACAAAATTGTACAAACTAAGTGACCTCGAAAAAAAATTGGCGCGTGGGGTAAAAACGCCGCGATAACGTATTGCTCAGAAGTTTTAATTTTTTAAACTCTATAATATATTACTTTTCTATAATATTGAAGCCGACCCTTTGGAAATTCACTAGGCACTTAATAATTGTGAAATTGATTATTGAAATTGTTAAATAATAAGTGTTTGCAACATTTCAATGGATATAGTTTTTAATTAAAAAACTTCTGAACTTCCACATGTTGGAAATTTTGAAATTGAAGATTTTCTTCTATTAGGTATCAACATCTAAGATTTTAATATTTTATGATAATAATCTACTTGTTATTGACATTATTTGGGTACTTAACTACACTGAAACCAGAATGGCGTTTTTACCCCACTAGGTGGGGTAAAACCGCCGTTTTAAACTTTTCTTTTGAACGATTACAATTGTTTTAAAATAAAAGCTACATAAAAACTTTCTAAATGAATTATGTAGCCAAAGAATTAAACTTTCAGAAATATGGGTTGGTTCACTGATCATTTTATAAATGATAGCTTGACATCGTCAAATATACATTTTTGGCGTTTTTACCCCATCTTACCCTATTATATCTATATTTGCAATCGATGTTATGTTATGGTTATCTTGGTTTAATAATTTATATAATGTTGAATATATATAATATATTATATATTATATTTTATATTTGAAGAACTTTAACATCAAAAGAGTATACATAATTCGAGCGCCCTCAGCCGTATTTTCCATCGGTAACCAATTTTTTGTTTCTAACGGAGAATGACAACAGTGCAATTAGAAAAACGAAAGAATAGAAGACAAATTTGGAGTCGGGCCGCCGTCGGGTGCAAGCAACGAAATCGTATTATAAGAGTGAGAAAGAGAGGGAAACTTAGGAATATCCCTTTTCCTTTCCTACACATTGATTGCTTGAATGCCACGAGACACCAGGTGACAGCCAGAACTGCAGGGTAATAACTACATACATTTCTAACAGCGTGTTTTGATTCTTAAATTTGGCAATGTATTTTTTTTTGCACGACGCAATATCCGGTTAAATTTTTCAATATTCTTGAAAAATTGTGTTCGTATAAGCGGTTTGTCGCTAAAACGCTCTAAGCGGAGGCCCTTTCATATAAGTTTATATGGGGACCAACCAAACCATCGAGTTTTCGTCACACAACCCGGACGGACACGATAAGCGGAGTCATTATAACAGGATTCTACTGTATATATTTTTCGATCTTCCTATGGCAGCTACATATAGGTATATATTCGAAATTCGACAGTAGTTAAAAAACCAGAAACAAAGTAGATATAATCAATAACAACGGCGTGTTTTTTTTTAAATAGGTATTTCGTATGGGTGCTATCCGCTAAAGTCGCCCGATCCGGTCCGTCCCGTTTTAGATACTGCATGCAGTAACTATACAACTTTTGGTAGTTTCAGAAAGATAGCTTTAAAACTGAGAGACTAGCTTACGTAGAAACAGACATGCGGAGAGACGAACAGACTTAAAGACAGACGGACAGACGGACAGAT